AGTTTATCATCCCTCTTTCTCTTTCTCAGGTACCCACTTTCTCTTGGGCAGGCTTTGCTTTTGTTAATGAATTTTGCTTCTGGTTCTCGAATTCCTCCTGGTTTACTGAGTTTGTCCTTGTAGATCTGTTTTTGATTCTGTGTTCTTCATTTTGTATGCTAGGGTAATGTTCTTTTTAATCTTTCTTGTAGTTCATATGAATTAAATCTTGAATTTTGTTCATTGTTTAATTTGTGGGGTTTAGTCGGTGAGGGTTTTGTGGTTTAAGGTTGCAGATTTGAGTTCTGGTGAATTAGTTCCTATTTTACCTTAAATTTTATCAACAATGATTAATAGGCTTAGTCCAGGCTAAGCTATACTACGAAATACTACATGACAATTGGCCATGGTTCTTGCACCCGTTGCTCCCAGTGGTTAATTTTTTTTTTTTTTCCCCTATTTGAACAAATTTACAAGCGTGTAGAAATACCTTGGTAAGCCTAGTCCAAACTAAGCTAAACACCAGTTAGTACCAAATACTACATGATAATTGGATGGTTTTTGGACCTGCTGCTTCCAATGGTTCAATTTATTTTTCTTTTTCTATTTGACCAAATTGATAAGCGTCAAGAGAAACCTTAAACTGCCTTAGCTTGTTCATTTTTTATTTTTTTATGTTGCGTTGGCTTGTGCTTTAAGCAATAAAGAATGAGTTAAATTTAATAAATAATCTAATAATTATTAACTCAATTTTATTTTAGCATCAAAACTTAATTTTCTTTTTAAATTGTTTAGAAACCGTTATTTTTGTATTATTTTAGTCTATACATTCAGCCATCCTTGTTTTTTAGTTAACGGAAGCCCATGTCATGTAGAACCAAAATAAAAGGAAAAATTATCTTTTAGCCTTCAAACTTTGAAAAATATTTTAATTAAGTCCACGAATTAAGTAAAAAAAGCTCAAATGCAATTATTTATTGATTAATAATATTTTATTTATCTTATTATATGTCATTTACTCCATTTGTTTAAAAATAGTAATAGGTTTTTTTATTTTATCTTTAAATTAAAGACTTGGGGACCAAATTTTTTATTTAATTGTACCACTTGTTAAGACTTAATTTAACAACATTGCTTACAATACTTTTCATACATATTTACAGAATTTTTTTTGTAACTTATGTATTTGATAAATTATCCTTGTCTACTTTTTTAGAATGGAATACAAAAATCATCTTATTCAAAATTTCTAAATCTTTTTCCATACATTATATATTAAATTATTACTTAATTTAATTTTAAAAATAATGT